AGCCAGCGCAGCTCGCGGAGGATGGGTGTTATGTGGGCGAACCGAGGTGCGCCCACGATCACTCGCGCGGCCGCATTCATTTTACGCTATGAAAACCTATTGAAGGTTATTAACCAAGCTTATCAGATTTCAATCAGTCTAGCAGACGTACAAAGGCATCCGCCAGATTGCTTGACCTGGTTAAAGCATGTTGTATAAACACAGCTATTGATCTGCTCCGGTGCCAATGCTCTTTCCGTGTCAATGAACCCAAATCAACCAAAGGAACTGCTTTCTCCATAGGGGCGCTGTAATTTTAAAACTCCAAACAATCCCACCTAACTATCCTTAATATCTACAAATCAAAAACAAGGAAGGAAGGGAGGAAGGAATTTCATACCCAGCTGCTGGAGGTCCTTCTCTTTGTAAAGGCGGGTCACTCTCTCCATTAGCTCCCATTTCTCACAACAGCCTTTGTAGTTAACGAAGTTGCGAGCCAGGATCTCTTTCAACTGCCTTACCGAGAGGGCATCAATATCTCTCAGGCTTGTTAGGTCAGAGAGAGATGCCCTCCGTCCCGTAACTAGGTTATCTTCTGAATCAGTGGACTGAAATAGAACAAATGAAACATTCACCACAGGAATGAAGTCAAGCAACCGAGACCAAAGTTAAACACAACTTTTGTTTAAAAAAATTAAAAGCTACAGCAGAAAAAATAATAGTAATAATAATAAAGCCACAACAGTAAGCCATAACAACAGTCTCTTCGTTGTGCTCAACACCCACAAATGAGGGCTTGCCCATCTCCCATATGGACGTCCCTTCCTGCGTGTCCCAACAAAATCAGCAACTCCAATACAGGTAGCCTTCAACTTACAACAGTTCATTTAGTGACTATTCAAAGTTACAACGGCACTGGAAAAAGTGACTTGTGACCATTTTTCACACTTACGACCGTTGCAGCATTTGCATGACCACATGATCATAATTCAGGTGCTTGGCAACTGACTCGTATATTTATGGAGGTTGCAGTGTCCTGGGGTCATTTCGCGACTTTCTGACGAGCAAAGTGAATGGGGAAGTCACATTCACTTAACAACCATGTTACTAACTTAACAACTGCAACGATTCACATAACAACTGTGGCAAGAAAGGTCATAAAAGGTCACTTAACAAATGTTTCACTTTCAACATAAATGTTGGGCTCAATTGTGGTCGTAGGTCGAGGACTGCCTGTAGACAGTGCCACATCATCTAATGGGGTCCAGGAGGCAAGACTTTTTTTGTCACTGCTCCTGCCATTTAGAACAGCCTCCCTCTGAAGATTTGTATGTGGCAATACCTTTCCCAACGTCCTTAAAAAAAAAAAAAGACTGTTCCCCCAGGCCTTTGGTTTAGATCAGGAGTCGACAAACTTAAACACTCAAAGAGCCATTTGGACCCATTTCCCATAGAAAAGAAACCCCCGGGAGCCACAAGGGTCCTAACCGGAAGCCCCCTGTTCAATTCTGGAGCTGACCGGAAGTTCAGTTCCCCCACCATAGAGTCTCCTCCTAGCTCGGCGTACTTTTTCTTCTACCTGTTATAACCGAAAGCCCTATCAATTGTGGAGACAACTGGAAAACCCTCCCCTTGCCATAGAGTCTTTTCCTGGCGCACTGTGCTTTCTCCCCCCCCCCACCACCGGAACCTCCTCTCAAAATTGTGGTGCCGACCGGTGACGGAGCCGCAGCAGAGGGAGGAAAGAGCCACATGCGGCTCCAGAGCCAGTTTGCTGACCCCTGGTTTAGATGATTGGGTGAGTGCCTTTAAGCAGAGATTGGGAGGGGGGGAGTGGACTGCAAGGATGTGTCGTTCCCTCAGATGGTTAATGTTTTATGTATGGACGTTACTTTATGTCATATTTCTTTTTATGTAATTGTTTCTTTTAACTTTGTGAAGCCCCCCTGCAAGTTGTTTTGGAGTTGAGTGGTCTAGAAATTGATAAATAAATCAATAACAACAACAAAAACCACCATGTTATTCTATCACATGGTAAAATTGCTTTGAGGGTCAATATTGCTTTAAAAAGTACAATTTTTACAAAGGTCTGTATCTGTAAACGGACATACGCCTCGCCTGAGCAGCACAGAATATGCTCCATTATTGGGGTTCAGCAAATGGGGAGCAAGAATGCAGGGGAGTACTGGGATTGCCATGTCTGAAGAAGTTCTGTGTAGCTGATTCTGCTACTGGAATGAAGTGGCTAAGGGTTTTATTTTTAAGCCACATAAAGGAATCAGGAGCAGATCCTACCTCTTCCAGCTCCATGCTGGCACTGATATTGTTACCTAGTGTGGTAATGAAATGTCTGCAAGAAAGCAACCCAGCTCAGAGACCATCAAGGACCCCACAGTTCCAACCCTGAGCTTCAAATATTCTTCTATCTGTCTTCCAGCTTCAAATCTATTCCAGAATTGCACCTCTTTTCATTTCCAAGCATGTAGTTATTTCTGTAGCATCCTCTGCACTTAAAAGGACTTCACCCATTTCTGGGTTAGCCCTGGAGTGTTGACTCAGACAGTATCAGCCATTGCAAGATACAGCCTTCCCCTTTTCGGCCTCTTCATCCCTGAAAAGCAGGCCGTTGACCTTCTCTTACCTGCGTCTCTTCCTCAGGCAGGTTTTGCACTGCGCTCTCAACTTCTGCCATATCGTCCTGGCTCGGCAGCACATGCCCATTTGCCTAAGAAGAGAAAGTATAACTGAACTGTTCAGAAAATGTGGGGAGGAGGCTGAGGAGAAGCTTCCCTTCAGCTGGCCTTCACTTGGCTCACTCAAGGGATCATCGAGAGCCCGAGAAAATGCACAGGGCCATAGTGAGAAGGCAGACTATCCTCGGTGCTTCAAAACCAGACAAGGAATTTTGCTTTAGGTTGAGACCCTCACCTTGTTGTTGGCTAAGCCCTGTTAGGACTGCCTTGGCTCACGTAGGAAAGCCCTTGGGTGGTATCTCCAAGGAAGCAGAGCCAGGACAGTCATGATGGAGCTGTAGGGAGCTAGCAAGAGACGTGCTATGAAGGCCTGGCTCTGCTCTGCTGCCTTCCATTGTGACACAACCGTGACATCATGGAGAATGCAAGGCATTATTTTTTTATGACACAATACCAAAGGCCCACAAAGGCCCTCTCTCTGGAAGCTTAGCCATGCATCTCCCACACCAAGGTCTGAAAAGAATGAAGTCCTGCCAATTTAGGATTCCCTCAACTAAAAGCATCCAGCCACATGCATGTCCTTCAAGCCACCAAAAAGCCACCGTGAAGCCAACCCAGGTTAGAATGGAAGGAACTCTTTTTAACCAAAATTGGGATGATGGGAGAGGAGTTTCAGAATGTGGAAAAAACATGGGCCAGTGGTGCGTTTCAACAATTTTCCAAACCTACTCTGTGGGTGTGGCCTTGGTGGAAGTGGCTCTCTCTCTCTCTCTCTCTCTCTCTCCCTCTCCCTCTCCCCCCCTCTCTCTCTCCCTCTCTCTCCCTCCCTCTC